ATACCACACTGCTGCTAACTAGGTGCAACCCCTAGCTAAACCAGCCCACTTTTAGAACAGAAACTCCTAGAAGGAAGAAATGTGATGCAGGAGGAGGCTCCCTCTGAATCCCCTTCAGGCTGGGAGAGCTGATAATGAAGGCCCTTGTCCCTGTATATAGATGTGTAGCTTCCGACTGAGCTTCTCAATTACATTTCTTGTGTGAAACTGTTGACATAATCAAGCACAAGCATGGAAACAGAAGCAGGATAGCTAAAGAAAGATCCTTATTTTGTCAGAGAGTTGTTTTCCCTACGTACCAGGAGAAAACTAGGGCACAGAATGTAAGCATTACGATTAACTTTCAAGAGAGGCTAAAATTATCCAGGATTATACAAATACAAGCAGTTTTTGTTTGTGTTGAAGACAAATGATGTGTTTTGGGGTGGTGGGTTTTCTTTGTGAGGTTTTTTTTTCGTTTGTTTTGCAAAAGCTCTATGATGAGGCCAATGTGTTTTCAAGATGCAAACTCAACATTACCTATTCCGAATATTCTTTAGTGGACTTTGGAAGGGTGAATTTAAACTTTGTTGTCAGACTAAAAATCAATACAGAAACTGGCTGAAGCAGTGATTTATACCCCAAGTCAGATCAGGAACCAGCCTTGTTATTTGCAGAACCTACATCAGTGGCTGCCAGTGTTCTTCCTTCCAAGAGATGCCAAAGAATCTAGAGAACAAGATCTTTTGCATTTCTCACATCGCTATGTGTACTTCACTCTCTCTCACCTAGCTCTGCTTCTTTTCCCAGAATGCCCTAAAGCAATGACCTCTCACCATCCTGCTGATACTCCTCTGCCATCTGAAAGTGGGATTTCTGGATCAAGGGACAGACCACCTTGTATCTAACGGCAGAAGTGATGGGGTGTGAGGATGTCCTGGTTTGGGTTAAACCAGAACTAATTCTGTTTTAGTGCTTTAACTTTTCAGTTAAGTCTCCTCTAACTAACGGCACTTTCTGAAACAGCAGCATGTTTTCCCACACGGCTTCCAGCAGTGATAACCCCTGATGTTTATAGTTTGTACCAAGGAATGGGATGCAGAGAGGCCCTTGCTTATACTTGTTCTTACAGTGACCAAGGTCACTGCTAAATCTTGTGCTCCATGTTGGGGTGCCGGGAGTGAAAAGGGTCGCAAGCACGTAAAAGGTCGCACCTGCAGGGAGGAGCAAACTGGACAGGTGACCCAAACCTGACCCACAGAGTGTTCCATCCCATACACGTCACATTCAGTATAAAGCTACGAGATCACGAGGGTCTCTCTCTCTTCTTCAATGGCCAACACCTGAGGAGGACTCTGTCTGTTCTTCTGCCGTCAATCCCGATCCATGCATCCCCGAATCCAGTGCCTGAGTCCAGCTCCTGCATCCCGTCCCTGTCTGCTGCTGAGTCCAGCCAGGGACTGCCCCAGCACCAGCCCTGCAGCATGGTGGTGACGTATCCTCATCAGGGTCAGAGGAGTTGGGTTCGGTATTGGTTTCGTATATATTTGTAGATGTTATTGTTTCATTATTCCCTTATTCTTATCTTTTCTTTTATTGTTATTATTTCATTAAAGCTGTTTTAGTTTTCTTTTCCAAACCATAAAGTCTCTCTCCCTTGTTCTCTCTCCTTTTCCCTTTTGGGAGGGGAGAGGGGTTAATAGAGAGAGTCTGTCATTTGTTAGTAGCCGGCACTGCCTCAAACCATGACAGAGGAGCACGTATGACAAAGTTGTAATTTAAAGACTGACCTGGTACCACCTATTTTTACACTGAATTACTCAGGAAACATGCTATGGATCATTTTTGTCCTAAACATCATGAAGATGACACCATGGAAGCAGTTTGTTCAGTATGCACTTAACACTGCAATTTTATGACACTGTCACATATAGTACTCACCAGAACACCTCTATACTGGGCACATTGCTGTCAGCACAAGGACATAAGGTACTAAAAAGCAAAGATTTAAGACCTCATAAAGTGATTCCATTTTCAACACTGTTTGCCTTGTCAGTTGATATCAAGGAAGAAAGCTTTAAAAAAACATTTCAGACTATAAGCACCATTCCTGAAGCTTTGCCAAAAGCTTTCTTGTGTCATTGCATTACATATCAAGAATTTTCAAATAAAATGAGCTCCGAAGGCTGCTTCTGTACCTACAGAAGGCATCAACTCCCACTGTAATTGCTAGGTAGTGGCTATGAATGACAGGCTGCAGTTCTAAAAACCATCAGTACATATTTTCCTATATAACCACAAAACAACAAGGCGGCTATAAGCTGCAGGAAGAGAGTGCTCTGTTTGGAGCCCTCTCCACTTTTTCAAGTGCTGCGTTTTATAGACACACAGCAAGGGTTTGTTTCTTCGGGGGAAATACTCCTTGCACTTCACACACAAGCCAGCCAAAATGTTGCTGAGTGCCACTGAAGTTCCAATATTCCTCCTCCCCTCGGGGGACAGGCAGCTGCCTGCCTCTGCTATCCTGCAGGTAGCTAGCTGGCTCCTGCTGGCACTGCAGCAGTACACTCTGGGGATTAACAAGACCCAACTGAGGTTAGGCAGTGCTATTTCTACCTAAGAAATCCCTCCATCTTCATAGAAGGACTTTAACGATACCAAACAGTAATAAAGTTGAAGTGGCTTTCCAAATCTGCTGCTGATTCTGCACTTTTGAAATTTTTTTTTCGGTTCAATTTCAGAAATTTAACAGAGCTATCAAGAAAAGCATTAAGAACAAAAACCATCCACTCATCTGGCATAAACCTACACACAACACCAAATAAAGCATCCTGGTCCTAAAGCTTTAGTACTCTGCTGGCATTAACAAATTAACTACATGCTCACTGAAAGTTATTTTTATGAAATGCTTTAAAAATCCAAGCAGAAGATAATGCATACGTACATTTCACAGCATTCGCTGACTCCAAACTCCTATTTATTTCAAAGGAAACACCAGCTGGCCCTTACTGAAGGCACAAACTGGCACCCCATTATTTAAGCTTAACTTTTTATGTATTTGGTCAGTAATCTCAGCTAAGTTTTATTTCATGCTTTTGTGCTTTGATTCCCCAGCCAGATGTTCAGAGAACATGCTAAACACTGCAAGCAATCATCTAAAACGCTGACAGACCCAATCCAAGTCTCAGTTCTGCTCTTCCCAGCAGCACACACACAGTATTTCCCCTTTGGTTGGTTTGGTACCTCCCAGTTCCCACATCTTGGGCAAGATTGTCTTAAGGGTCAACTTCATACCCTATTACATTAGGCTATGCCAATTGCCTAGGCTCCCCATGTATTCAACAGAGAAAGACGGGAAACTATTCGATAAGGCATCTCTCCCAATCCAACATGAACAATATACATGTGATGAGTTCTCCCCAGGTGCCTAGCGCTCTGGTGACTGTAGGGGAAATGAAGACAGCCAGCACAGAACATGCAAGCAAGCTAGGAGACCTGAAGTCGGGCAAGCTTAATTGTCTTGAGTCATGAGGACAAAAAAAAAAAAAAAAAAAAAAAATCAATATGCAAAATCAGGACTGCTAAGAAGAGCTAAAATAGGTAATGATCATTCATTTTTTCCTTATAATACAATACTCAGGACAGGCAACAAGCCTAAAACCAAATGGAAATATTTTCCTATACTGTTTGACTGTGAAACTCTCTGCCATAGAATATTATGGAATCAAAAGTATAAATGGGTTTAAGGAAACTAGATGGTAAAAAGACCTAAAGGTTACCGAAAACAAAATTATGTGGCCACAATTCCATATCACATAGGCCATCGGCCACAAAAGGCCAGATGCTGAAAGAGAAAAAAAATACCCACACCACCACAAAAACAAAACACTTTCACTTACATTTTTCCCCCTCAAAACAGTCGCTATTGACAGCAATCTGTAATGTCCGTATGCAGTTGAACTCTGCTTAATAAAGTAGTCTTTAATACTTACTTGGAACACTAGGTGGCAGAGAAAACATCTAACTCATCTACAGCATTCAGAACTTGACTGTAAACTCTCACTTGGCAATAGTTAAGGATTAGTATAATGCAGCAATCTCGATTTCATAACTGCATTTGCTTTGTGTGCCTACATAGCCTCAGGCAACATTTTTCAAGTAAAATACTGTGTTCAGAGACCCATGTTAGCCGTGCCAGAATACAGCCAGATTCCTTCCCTGAGATACCTTGCCCTCTCATTTAAGAAACCATTGACAATTGCAAAATATTTCTTCTTCTCCAGAAACAGTTCAAACAAGCACAAAATGGAGTTTAAATCCTCATGGTCTCCACCTCTGTAAAGACACAGCACCGTAACATTTACCTCATGCCTCTTTTTCTAAAAAGTAATTTTATTATTTAAAATTCACATCACTTGTGTGCTACTTGTGAAAATACTGCAAAGGGGCAACAATGAAACAAGTTCTGCAACTCAGGCAGTTGCAAATCAGGCAAGCCAATGCAAATGGTTCTTCAGGCCATACTGATGGTCCTGTCAGCATGCTCTTCTTCTGCAAATGGGAAAAACTTATAACATTTTGCTTGAGATCTCCCTCAAAACTTGAGAGGAGAAAGGTATGATCTTTCTTCATGAATGCAAGCTCCAAGTTTCAAAGCAAATGTGTGTGTATATGTAAAGGACACCACCTCTGTGCTACAGCATAACTTGCTATTTTCCAAATTACAGACATTTCCTAGAAGGTTGCTGACATTAAAAGTGGAAGTCTGACATTTAACTCCTACTTTGCTCACATAAATTAAAGAAAAATCCAATTATTAGCATGGTTGGTAACACTGTCCCTTTAGGAGAACAAATCGGCACAGGATAGTCATTCAGCTTTGTATCAGTTTCTCAGCTGTATAGAGATGCTGATGCCTTCTAGTACATCTTTTAAAAATCTGCAGGAAAAAAAAAGCAACATCACTGCTTAAAAAGCAGTGTGCTGACACACAAGAAGGAAGGTCAAGTAATTAAGCCACAGAAATTATACATAAAGGAGTCACCAAAATTGATCTTAACACACAAACAAATCACTGAAAGGCACTGAACTGGATTTTGATTTCCACAGTGTTTGATAACTGGAAAGCTTGTTTCATTTCTGAAAAATAAGTTAATACAAGGTTTAAAACCACTGATGTGCAAGTCTTTGCTGCATAAAAAGAGGTACATTTTCATACTTTAAAATCATTTAAAAACATTTGTACATAATGCACAGAAGTTCTTTTATATAAACAAAGTGTTTCTTTGCCAATAGCACCTGTCAACTCCAAAACATAGAATTAAGACAAGAGAACCATACAGTCTAAGTCACTGCTGTTTGTGTCAAAAAAATTATGCCACCTCTTTTCTACAGCTCATCATGCTTGTACGTAAATTCCCTTGCAGATATAAACCCATCACTGTCTTCATCTTCTTTATCAAATATGTCTTCAACCAAAGCATCATGCTGAGTGTCATTTACCACTGCTCCATGCTTTTCAAATTCTTTCTTCAAGTAAATTTTCACCTATTAGACAAGAGGTAAGAGTTAATGTTTTTAGGCTTATGAAAAAAATTGACTACTGCAGCATAAGAGAGGGCCACTATGTTCAGGAGGTTAGTATTCGACAATAGATACCTTCCGTCCTATGCCACTGCCAGAGTAATACTTGTCTGACAGATTCTGCAGTCCCGTTCAGTGATGGAAGACTCTTCAGTAATACAAGCGACAGTAAAACTACCACATCAGTTGCCATACCTTTATGGTATCTCACTGAAAAATGAGCCAGGCAAACCTGTCATCTGATGTCTACTCAGTGAAGTATAAATAGCTAGGCAGAAGTTACTAGCTACCATTAGGTCAGAGACCCAAACAGCTGTTTCACATCCTAGCACTTTGACGAACCAGGAGATTTAAACAGCCACCCCAAACATATACAAAAATCTGTCCACAATATCAGTGTTTGCTGCTTTAATGGGATTTATTATCTAATAAAGATTTATTTCTAGACACCTCAAAATTCTGAAGGACAAAAATTCAAGGTAGCTTTTAACCAGACTAGTGGAACACTTAGTTACTAATGGTGAGCCATGTTTTTAACAACATCAGATTATTTTTACTGAGTTTAAGGTTTAACTATTGAGATCTCAAGTGTTCTAAACTGCAGAGCCTTCTACAAGAATACCAATACAAACATACCCACCTGATATACCTGTTAAACAGATACCACTTGTGTAACAAGAACTGTAACAATGGACTGTTAACAGCAAGATACATGGGTCATGTTTCAGGTCTGTTTTAGTCAATTCACATTCTGGTATTTGTTAGGGTCATTGCTTACATTTCTAACACACAGACATTGGACACAATAATACTGCCTGTCTGATGGACAATACATTAGTCTTTTGGGTCTTGCAAACTGTACCAGCCCCAAATCAAACAAACCTCAGTGGTTTATCCTAACTTCTCATGGATGACTTTTGCACATTGGAAGAGCAGAAGACTGAAAATCACAGGCAAAAAGAAGGTGAACAATGCTCTGAATACATGCCCTTCAGACATTGAACGCTATGAAACAGGACTGCCCTACAGCAGGAGTTTCCAATTCCAGTTTATTAGTAAATCAGCAACTAACTCCAAAAAGCCCCAAAGTCTGTTTTTATTTCTAAGATGTTTTACTTCATCCATGTTTCCTATAAGCATGGGGCACACATGGGTCACATGTCTATGCCTCAGTTTACTGAGGCTGCTTTGGAACCCCCAGTCCAGCAGTTCTGCTGGGATCCAAGGCTCAGCATGGTGCAGCACAGATGTGCATCCTAGGCTTAGTTTTACTTGAGAAAAAAAAAAAATCTATTTTTAAGGTACGAGAAAGTATGTGAGCTGAAGCCACGCAAGAAGTGCAAAGCACAGACAGAAGCTTAATTGTTGAGCCAGGAATAGTAGTAGTTCAAGGGGATTTGGCAGGAAAGATATCAATAAAAAAAGGCATAAATCAAAGGCAAAAAAAAGCAGAGAATTGGAAGGCAGCAATATTGAAAGTCATCTCCATGGGAAAAACAAGAGACTCACCCTTCCCCACGTAACTAATAACAACCTGGCCAGCAAAGACTTTTTGGGTGTCTTACCATTACTGATGAGCATATCAGTTCAGCAATTATGCTAACAACTCATTAGTCCTAGTTACCTGTACTGTGCATGGCCCAATAAATAATTGCCTTAAGCACTTTAAATAGCATGTACTCTGCTTGCAGAGTTGCTCTGGGCACAGCAGTAGCTAAAATCTAACTTGTGTTTAGATACTTCCCTAACTGGATCAAGCTAAGCTTATCTTTCCCTTTCCACTATCCCACCCTGTTTGCTCGCAAGAAGGGTAATGCACTCACTCACCTCTTGCTTGGACAGTTTCCAGTCATCGTTAAGATCCATCTCTTGGAATGACTCATGAGACCTTGGTCCATTCCTAATTTCTAGAAGGTCAATGTTGAAAATCAGTGTGCTCTCAGGTGGAATTTTTCCTGCCCAAAATGGTAAACATGGAGAAAAGTTAAAAACAACCACATAATCAGTGCCATGCAAAAGCTGAATGTGTCAGAGCAACATTCCAGTAATGCTACTACTTTCAAAGCATCCTGCAATTGGAACTAAGAAGGATAAGTATCTGTAACAGTGATAACTGTAACTATTTCAGACTGTAGCCTGGACCCTGCACTACCCTTACAGCATATATGCTACTTTAGATGCAACGAGTTTTGTTGGAGACCAGTACATGTTGATGTGAGCTCACATTCAGCATCAGCAAACATCATCACAGATTTTCAGACAATGTTCTTGAATCTTTTTTTTCATGGCCAGAGCCAGATAAAGTGGAAAATGGTGAAGGAGACTGTACAGCCAGCCACTACCATAACATACAGCCTAGACTGATAGATAGGGTTGCAAGAAGGGAGAGTTTAGTCCTCCTGATACAGCATAACCCTTTCAGTCTCCAAACTCCTATCCACTGCCATGTGACACCTTGTACCTGCTGTTCTGCCACCAGAAAAATGCTTCTTGCAGAGAAAGCAATGCTGTCAGCATCCCGTAGCTGTCTCTGGACTGACACACAAAACACTGAGCTGTTTCCAAACACAAAGCAGAAACTAAGTTTATAAACCTGCTCAAAAGACATGTGCTGGCATCATGCCATTTTTGATGCAGGTGAACAGACTGATAATTTCCTAACAGCACCAAAGGCCACCCACCCCATGCCAGCACACCTCAAGGATTTCAGTTTATCAGGCATTGGCTTTTACAGTGATGTGATATGCCCTCATGCTGATGGCTGAAGCTACTGTCAAAGACCTTTTGGCACACCACTTTGCTCCTTATATAGGGAGAGGCTGAATAGGACCAACTATATTTCTATATTGGATAGCAGCATCCCTCAAAAACCACATTCCTGTGCCTTGAGAAGACAGGCAAAAACCTAATCCACATCTACTATTTTGGAGCTATACTGTTAAATACATCATGAGCTGCAGCAAACAGAGTGCTTGTAAATTTCTGGGATGAATAAACATGCAGAGGCTTCTGGAAATACAGGGCACAGTGGCCTGCTTAGAGTTTGGAACCCAAGTATTTTTTTCTGAGCATTACAGAAAAAGGCATCTGACTCATCATTGAACTCAGACAGCAAGCAAGGTGGGAGGCTAGTGAAATTATATGCATTCAAAGGAAAGCATGAAGAAAAAGGAATAATTCTGTCTTTAAGGGCATCATTTCAAAATAGCAACATAATTATGTTCAAATACTTCAAAGTTTTCCTAAAGCAAGTAATTTCTTACAGTAGCTAGCAGTGTTTACTTGTTCAACCTTCTTGCACTAAACACAGAGGTGAGGCTTGCAATTCTTTGAAGAACAACTGTAGTACTTTACATATTAATCAAGGCAATGAGGCCTGTGATGACTATGTGAGCATTGCAGCATTTAGTATCTATTTGTGGAAAAAATTTACAGTTTACAGTTAGACTGCATACAGTCTAACCACCACAAGTTTCCTGATCTCTACTAGAGACATGATTACTCCCAATACTATCTCTTGAATCCCAAACGAAAGCTTCTAGAAAAGTGTTTTAAAAGGATACTTTCAAGAGAGGAGGGTAGAGATGCTGTATGGATGGAGTACCACTTAGCATGGGGTAACACAGAGTACTTAGCCTATGTTCAGCCCTACTCACCAGAAGATAGATGCATGCAAACACTCCTTCTCCTCATTCCTAAAGCAGTCTCAGATTAATGGGTGAGGACAGTAGCAGGAAGGATTATATGTTCCAAGATATTTAACCTTCCTGCTTTGAAGCCTTGCATTACCTTAGGTCATTTGTGATAACTGTTGTCATGACAAAATATTCCTAATAATTGCTCTGAAAAAGTTAACTAAAACCCCATAAAGCAGGAAAAAAATTAACCTTCCTGCATCATTTAAGCTGTCACTCATTTATCTGCAAATTCCAGATCTGGCCCTCCAATTAAAACAGGAATCTGGAAATGTTTGAAGAAAAACACTCAAACATCATCATCAGTAGACAGGCTGAGAAAACCCTACAAACAGTGGTCTTCGATACAGTTCCAGTAGATGCTAATATGACTGCCCAGGTATCTGCATAACTTACTGTGGGTAACTGGGACCACTGCCCAAACCGAAAACAGCTACAAGAGGGAAAGAATTAAGTGTCCCTGCAGGGAGAAATAAACAGTGACTTTTCACTGTATCAGCTAAGAACTGGTTGGGCAGCAGTACAGGGAGTTTCTTAGGGTTCTAAAAGAAACCTGCAAGCAAGAATGAGGCTCGCACATGCACATTCATGAAACATTATTACAAACACAGATGCAACAGCTGAAGAGCCAACTGTTACCTGAGCAACCACTTTCAGCTTGACTGTGAAAGAAGTGGGGGGAGCCCAGCAGGGCACTGTTGAGCCCAGCACTGACAGAAAAGGCAGTCAGAACATACAATACAGCAACTACTATCAACTCCTGTTTTTTTTTTTTCCTGCATCCACCACATAAGCCCTTCAAGGTTATTTCTGCAGAAAACAAATTTGAGAGAAAGAGCACCCGACTCCAGCAATTTTTCTTATTTAATGGAATCACCCTGGGAAGCTTGCTAATCTCTTAGGCCAAGAATAACAGTAAAATACAGAGATTAAAAACAATTAAAGTAAGGGAAGGACTTAGGTGTTTTACCTTTCCCTTCTTTTCCATAAGCAAGGGCTGGTGGAATAGTTAGCTTCCGCTTCTCTCCCACACACATGTCCTTCAAACCTTTGTCCCAGCCTTTGATAGCTTCCCTTATGCCAAGTGTAAACCACATAGGTTGACCATTGTTATGTTTGTGACTGGAAAAGAATGGAATAAAACACTTAGTCTTTAGATAGCAAGTTCCATAACAGACACATGGAATATCCTCACAGCATAATATATCACAGCTCACAGGTATATAATTAAAAACACAGCAGCATCTGGCACCTTGGCATTTCTTAAATGAAAGACCTAGACTTTAAGTCTTCAAAACTTACTCCTTGCATGACAAGGGTCCTTAAGAAGCGGAGAAAAATAAAACAACATCTCCATGGTGTGTTTATGACAACACTGAGCAACCTGGATCCCCACCTTCATTTCCCTGATCACTTATTTCCACTTTTGAAACTAATCAGACTAGAAAGGCATCTCTACTTAAATCTACATTCAAGGCCATGTATATTCTTTGGTAAATTGCAAATCAAAGACCAGCTTGGTCACGATTACAATACACCTTCTAACATGCTTAGAAGTGTCAGCCACATCTCTTCCAAAAAACCCATGAGGAAAAAAAACCCCAACAACTACACAGCAGGTAGTCTAGAAAAACAGAAATAAACGCATGCAAAGCATTCAAGTTTAAAATAGGGAGACAAGTCCCCTTTCCAATTTAACCAGGTGGTACCCCAGGACTACTTTCACTCTACTGACAGACACAAAATTTTAAAAGTTCTATTTACTAGTCATGCAGGAAAGGTGCTTAATAAGAAAACAGAGCACTTACAGAAGTTAGTCAGCAGCAAAAACTTAAGAGTGTCACTAGAACTCCTTTTAGAGAGGCAGGTTAACTACAAGAGAAAATTAGTGAGATTTTAGTTTAAATCGTCTACAAGAGCACAAACATGCAAAACACTGTCTTACGTATTTATTTATTTTTAAAAAATATATTCCACAACAGTTGACTTCAGACATAGCCTACAGATACTTGAGCATTTGCTGTCTCCCACTATTAACACTTCCTTGATGTTTTACAGGAAAGGCAACATTATCAAGTCGTTGAAGGCTTTTAACAGACTCCCTCGAATTTCTGGCTCTTCCTCCTGCTTGCATTGCTGTGGCTCTGGTATGTGGATTTGTCTGGTCGGGGGCAGGTGAAGAATATGTCGTTTCAGTACTGAAAAGCTGTCATTGTACTGCCAGTAGTGGGAGGACATACGTAACTTTAAAAAAAAAAAAATTAGAGGCAGACTTCTCCCCTAGAAGTTTGCTTTAGAAACCAGACAAATTCTTGCATAGCAGAAGACTTAGTAAACCGCTGAAACGATATACAAGAACCTGTGTGCAAGTTGCAGAAGAGGTTGCATAACATCCCCATTTTTAACAAATGCCACATGATTACTTTCTAACAGACAAACCAGAAAACAAAAGGTAAATAAGATTTATTTCATAGCCTCGATTTGGGAAAGGAAATAAGCTTTACTGTTGGTGTTCATCTTAAACAGCATTGTGAGTCAGTGCTTCCTAAAGTGTCGAAGTATAAAGGCAAACCAAACTTCCTGAAAACGGGTGGCACCAGAAAGGGTCTCACTGACAAGTTTGTGCAGCATTATTTAAGCTCATTTAGTGCAATAACAAATAAAGCCTAGGGCATGCTATGAACATGCATGCATTACTTTTGGTTTCTTGCGCACAGATAAATGCAAGTTTTGGGAGAGAGGAGTAACTGTAAAAATAAAATTAAAAAACCACCCGCCCTCAACAAAACGCTCCTCACAGAACTATTTCGCAGATGGATTGCGGGCCACTATGAGGGGCACAGATTCAGGAAAGCACTGCCAGAAGAGATCACCTACATTAACACGCATATAAAGATATATACAGAGAGAGACAGATGTGTGTATTTCCCGGCGCAGGCTCACCCACCAGTCCGCTCGAAGGCGAGCCACTTACGTAGAGTGAAACATGGAGCCATCCCTCTCTAAGTAGCCCTCGTAGTGAACCAGCATCATGTCCCCCCACTTAGTTCTCCTGTGGCAGAGGAACGGCTTCTGCAGCACCTCCACCTTCACGTCAGCCGCGGGGATCAG